AAAAAATTGAGTTGTCTCCTCTTAGTTGCTTTTCTTTAATTACATTAGTATATGTTGAGTTTTCATTTAATGCTAAGATGATAAATAATCACTCTACCACTATAAAAATCAAATAACCTAAAAATATTTCAAATAATATAATAATATTTATATTTTGCATTTAACTTGAGCTCCATATTTTTTCACCAAACCAAACCAAACACCCTTTTACTAGCGCCTAGGGGTGTAAACGAGCCGAACACGAGCTGAGTCCAAAAAATGTGTTCGTGTTAAGAATTAAAGCATGATTTCAAAATTATTGTTTTTATTAAAACATCATTTGAATCTAATTTAATATTTTTTATTCTATTTTTTGAATTAAGACTTTTAATTGATTATAAATCTTTGTAGCCTTGTAGTCAAGTAAATTTTTTAAAAATACAACTCATCAATTTATATATATATATAATTGATGAGAAGTATTTCGAGCCAAAACTAGCCGAACATGAACGAATATATATATATAATTGTTTAATAGTATTTCAAGTCTAAATGAGCCCAATACAAACGATCAAATCTTTTTAGTGTTGTTCGTGTTCGGCCGCATCAGTTGAAGTGACTAAGCCCGGCAGTCGACCATACATCCGACGACTCTCTGTCCGATCCCGATCCCGATCCCGATCGAGGCCTAGGGGTGTAAACAAGCCGAACACAAGCTGAGTCCAAAAAATGTGTTCGTGTTAAGAATTAGAGCATGATTTCAAAATTATTGTTTATATTAAAACATCATTTGAATCTAATTTAATATTTTTTATTCTATTTTTTTAATTAATACTTTTAATTGATTATAAATCTTTGTAGCCTTGTAGTCAAGATATTATAAAATTGATTAGTAGTATTTCGAGCCAAAACGAGCCGAGCACGAACGAACAAATCTATGCTCGTGTTGTTCGTGTTCGGCTCGTTAACTTAACAAACGAGCCAACTAGGAGCTTCTTAACGAGCCGAACACGAGCCGTTCGTGAAAAACGAGCCGTTTTGACAGCCCTAATTCTTTATATCTTTGTTATGCACAATATACAGCAACCAAGTGTCTTGAATGTTTTAATTGTTGACTTGCAAATATTTTTAATATTGCATATGGACCACTAAACTTAATCAAATTAAAAGTGCAATTGATTTGAAAATTGAGCAAATTACTGCTAATTTCTGCCAGGCTCATCACGAGCATCGTCACATCAACTATGCGTCTCGTGAGAAGACATAGATGCAAATAAATAAATAAATAAATAAAATAATAATAATAATAATAATAAATACAAAAATGGGGTTAGAAAACCTCCGAATTTGTTTAAATATTATATTATGAAATGTGGGGTATTACATATGTCACACGATTTGCATTATTTCAACATCAGAGGGGTCCCTACCGTATGCATGAAAAGATACAACGGGGGAGGGGGAGGGGGAGCTGGAGGCACTGCAACGGAAGATTACTGGGGAGGTTCTAATCTAGGGAATGAATTTCCGACCCCTAAGGAGATTTGCAAGGGTCTAGATAAGTTTGTGATCGGCCAAGAGCGCGCTAAGAAGGTAAAAATTTGAACCTTATGATATTTTTGCTTCAAGTGGAGCTACTTTACGTATTGACTGCTTTAATTAGTTCAGGTTTTGTTTTACTCGTTGTATTTTCTGTTGTTGGAAAATTTGAAGTTTATTGTATACTCTTTGACAATAAGGGGCTGTCCGGTAACTGATGAGATTTAAGCTATTAGGATTTAATAACTCTTATAAATTCGGATTTGCTCTGGCAATGAATTTATTAAATCTTTAGGATTTAATAACTCTTATAAATTCGGATTTGCTAAATCCTAAAAAATGTCTGGCAATGAATTTATTAAATCCTGTAAATCCTGTGATACTGTTTGGTAAGTTCTACCAGGATTTACAGCAGTTGGAGTGAAAAAAAAAAAGACGTAGAGTGAGAAAAAAGATCCCTAACTTAAATCCTTAGTCTGCGAACTTAAATCCGCCGATTCACAGAATATAGTAAATCCCGCATTTACATTCAAAATCCGTGAAATCCTGATTTAACAAATTTGAAGCTTTATTTTGTCCAAAATGACGGTCTGGCAAGATTTACCTTACATCCTACTTAAATACATCTCTAAATCCTTTACCAGACAACCCCCAAGTTAGGTTAATTCCTTTGGAAGTTATCTTGCAACATTTTCTCGTGCTTCTCTCTTGATGTTCAGAGGATAATCATTGGGGAAGTTCATGTTTAAATTCCTTCAATTAGTTATTCTGAAAGAGCAGCAATAGCTGGAATGAGCTTTTTACATCAATTTATCAATTCCCATTTCTTATCAACAAATTTCCTAAGCCTATTTCCACTCAAAATATTGATGATGACTGAGGATTTTGAGCGCTAGTGCTGGCTGATAAATGTTGGTATGAATGATTTACAGTAAAGCATGGTTGTATTACCATTTTCATGTGTTATTGATAATCTTACAAGCTATGTGCATGTTTTAATTCTGCAATTGTGTGTTCACTTCTTTGGTATTTTCATGTCATAAAACTTTTAGAAAAATGTAACCTGGACTTTTCTTTGTGCCATTCAATTTCATATCATGTTTTTTAAACTTGTATGAGAGGTTCTTATTTGTAATAAAGTTATTACCATTCTTCAAAAATAAAGTAGTTTACTGAATTAGATAATGTTTTATACTCAAGGGTTTATTTGGGAGAATTGCAACTGATTATAAAATTAACCTTGCAAGAAAAATAGAGTTCTTGAAAGTTGCTTGGGTATTATTGAAAATTTTCCGTAGAGAAGCTAGATGATAACATTTTTACATCCACCACATTTTAGTATATTTGATTGTGAAAAGCTTCTCATTACAAAATTTTTTGAAAAGCATATAAGAAGCCAAACAGAGGCGTGGCAACGACTTGTAAAGTTAAAAAAAACCCATGCTAAATACACCGAAGTTGATTGTAGTAGACTTGGGAATTCTTATATGGATGTGTGGTAAAATTAAGAAGGATAGATTGTTGATTGATTATATTAGAAAGATTGTGGGAGTATTGCTCATTGAAAATATGACAATGAATGATATAGTTTAGCCATGTGCGATGGAGGTCAAAAGATGTCTTCATGAGGCAAGCAGGTACATTTAATGTGCATGAATTTGGAAATAATGTGGTGTATCATAGCAATACGTCTAGACATTGTGTTAAAAGATTCACTCTATAGGAATGAATATAGATGGAGGTTTTATAAAGCTGACCTTATAGAATTGGGATAATATGTTGACGATCTTCATTAAGTTTCATTTGTCTTCTTAAAGTTCTAGTGATCAGATCTCCAATCTCAACATTGAGCCAGCTTCAATTATCTACAGTAGCTCTCATAGAATATAAGTATTGTGCTTGCTATGGTTGGTATAATTTTTGGAATAAAATTAATTATTTTGTTGTGCAAATTTACTTTGTTCCATAATGGTCTGTACTGGAAATTTGCATGCTTTTATTATTGTATTACAAAGATTTACTTACAAGTAGGTTGGACTCAACATTTATTGATTAATTTACATTCACTAGCTACCTTTCCATTCACCATTTTGTTTTTTGTTGTATAGTGTCTAATTTTATTCCACCATACAATGTATGGATTCTAATTAGATTTTCATGATCATACTATTAGATAAATTGCGTGTATGTCAGTTTACACTGTTATTATTTTATTTTGGAGTTGTTTGAGGATTAGTTAGTGCTTGAGAATAAGAGAATCAAAAGATTTGAGGAAACTATTTCCAGGTAAGGTTTGTTAAAAATGTAAATGATGAGAAGATTGATGATCATTGTTCCTGGCAGTAGCTTTCTTAATGATTATTTAGTATCCATTCTCTTCATAGATGCCTTGTTTTTTTAAACCACTGTATGAGAAATACCATAAGCTTTAACATAGAATTAAAGTATGGGATTAACAAATAATATCCTAGTGACTAGGCAATAGAATATGGGTTATGTCAATAAGTAATACATCCCCTCAAACATTATTTTTATAACTCTCTATTTATAGTTAATTAAGCATTCAAACATTACAAGAAGAGGGATATGGTTGATCAATTAACATGGGAAAGATTTGGGAGTGGTCTGGCTTTTATTTTGGTTGCCGTCAAAGTTGATTGGCGTAGTGTTGCACCGGTAGGCTGAAGATGAGTTGCTGTAGTGTTGGCGGGCTTGTCAGAGTGGGAGATGGGAAGTTGACGGAGAGTTTGTGGAGGTGATGTCACCAAAGAAGATGAAGTTGATGGTTACGAAACAGACCTAACTTAAATTTGTTCTTCTCACAATTTCCCCATTCTCCTTTATACACTGTTGGTTTCGTCGGATGCCTTCGTGCAAGAGCCCCCATCTTATTCATATGATACCCTCACATATTCATATGCTGCATATCTTATTGTTTTCTTCTCCCATGAGCTCTTGGCATGGCTTCCTTGTCTTATTGCTGTCAAGGGTTTTAGATAATTTGGGTAGGGTTGAATACGGAGAAGATGAGAGGAAGGGAGCGAGTGATTGCAAGAGAGTGAGCTAGTTGAAGTGCAAGTAAAGAGAGCACCAGAGAGGAACGGGCCAAGGGTTATTTAGTTTTTAGGTTTTTATTTTATGGTATTTATATATTTTTTTAATGAGCTGGACATCCAACTCTGTAAAGGGAGTGGCACATAACTAGTTACGAGAATTGGGGTGTATGGGCTTTGCTGCTATGGGAGGTATGGCACTGGGATGGGCTTTCCTTTTTCTTTTTCTTTTTCTTAAATAACAATAGGTCAACGATAGATTTAGTTGCCTTGCTGATCAAGCACTATAAATTTTCATTTGTAGGTAATGACATTTACAGCAATTCATTGCATGCATCGTGCTTTTCCGGTTATATTTTTCTTTATGATTTGCTTATATACTTTACTGTTTGTGAATAAAAAGCACTTGCTTTACCGCTCCAGGTACTCTCTGTAGCAGTCTACAATCATTACAAGAGGATCTATTATGATAATCTGTCAGACTGGTTGGATTTACTTCTTATCCTCTCAGTAATTTTTTCTATATTCATTTGCCTAGAACATTTGCCAGAGGTGATGCCATTGCCCTCATTTATTTAATGAAACTGGTTATTAGGTCTGCAGGCGATTCAAATACTGATGGATCTATGATTAATGATAATGATACGGTGGAACTTGAAAAAAGCAACATTCTTTTAATTGGTCCCACTGGCTCAGGTATCCACATGGCTTTTTCATCCCGTTTTTTTTCAACTTTATTAAATCTTCTAGTGCTTCTATAAGTATTCATTTTTTTCAAGTACTTTTAATCATTAGAAACGGTCATGCTAATCATCAGTCATTAGCAATGTTTTATTTACCTGATTTCTTTCAACTTAATCCAAAATTTACGGAGTTTACATTCATGGGGCACAACTTTTCAATTCTCTCTTTTTTTGTCAGATGAAATATTTTTCAATGAATTTTCTGAAGAATTGATACCTTGAGAGCTTAGATTGAGCATTCTTGTTTAATAATGGGGTGTATCTTTTAAATGACAGACTTTCTGAACATATGAGTGTTCATAATATTATTGTGCTTTGATTTTGACTTCTATAATTTTATTTAAACGGATAAATAAATGCAACGATCGGAGTTTCAAATATCAATCAACAAGTTTAGGCTTTGGTTGTATGTGTTTACTGTGTATCATGATTAGCTACTGCCCTGCATGTGAAAAAGCAGAAGAAAACCACTAATTGACGTATGGGAGTCTTAGTGCCTTATCCCTTTTAAGATTTATCAATTGAATTTTGTCCTCATTTATGTCTCTTTGTGCCATCTCTCGCATGCTGTTCATATTTCAGATGATATCCGTTGGTGTCAAATGGCATTTTTTGGATCTGCATCACTAGCAACATTTTGATTCTTTCCCCCATTGAAATATTGATTTTGTATCACTATATTAAAAGCTACAAAGTGTGTACAAAACTGTGCCTTTAGGCATTTACAAAAGGAGCCATATCTTCTAAATGAAGAGAAAAGAGAGCATGTTGTTCATTTACACGTTTCAAAGTAAAATCCCCTTGAAGGGCAAAGTGGGCATAACAATGTGCAACTCTATTTCCATCTCCAACTATGTGTTAAAATATAACTTGTTTGTACTGCAAGAGGAAAGCAAAACCTGGTTTGGCTTGTTGGTAGGCTTGCCAAACTCTTCCATGCATGGATTCTCTAAATAAGTTGATCACATTCACATTGTACCCCCTCTATGATGATGCCTTTGATCTCAATCATCCATGGTTCAATGATGAGTTGAAGGGAATAGCTTGAACTTTTGCTTGCATTGCGATGATTTGCTTGTAGAACCAGACTCCATAAAGATACAAAATAGATACCAACCCTCATCCTGTATTGCGTTCCTTTTCTAATGGCAACACCTCTTATTTTCTTCTATTTTTTTCTTATTTAGTAGAGGAGTTGGTGTGAAGTTTCAGAGGCGAATAAGAACCTCTTAGATAAAGAAATGCATTCCTCTAATATGTAATTATATATTTAAAATTTTATTTTACGTAAAAATAATTTCAATTTAAATTAAGATTTTAATTTTTTCTGAGGGATTAAATGGTCAAATAATCATGAAGTATTTTTACACCAGCATTTATTAGACTAATTTGCAACTATTATTTGTGTGACTTTCATAACTTCCCTTGTGACAATTTGCTGAGAGAAGTTTTATAGAGTTGCAACATTATTGAAAGAATCCATGGTATTTGTGTAAAAATAGTCAACTAATTATACATTTTAAATAAGATATGTAAATTTTGAGAAGTTCCTAAATAAAGTTAGGTGCTTTGCTATATAAAATATCTCTTAATACTCTTTTAATAATACTGGTAAATTCCTGTGTACCATAAAACTGTAGACCTCAACATGCTTTTCATGAGCTTAGCAGATATGGACACACTTCTCATACACCTAACATGTGCCAAGTTGAAAATCATGCTTTTAGTACATGTGCAATAAGCAGTAGAAAATAGGCTCTTTATACGAGAATATATGATTAATGTCAGAGGTTGAAAGGAAAATGGGACCAAAGGTTTCATGGATAGAAATTATTTAGAACGTTTTGTGAAGATTAAGTTTAACACCTCATACAACACCGCAAAAAATCATTGAGAAATAAATCTTTGTAATATCGACCTTAATGATTGAGATTTGTCTAATGAAGATGATAATTTTTTAAAAATTAAAGCTAGAAACAATCTAGGTACCCCAATCAAGAGACATCTTGAGATGGGTAGGATTTGTGACATTGATGAGTGCTTTTCTTGTGAGCCAATTTTGGAAAATTTGCTTTCTCAGTGATATTGAAAGTTATATTGAAGAGAATGCTGGTGTTAGTAATGATGATTGTAACGGGAAAACTTCTTATTATTCAATTGAAAGAATATGTTACATATTTATACACACTCCTATGTCTATATAGTAGGAATATTTCTAATTTAGAATAAATCTTATAATTAGATCTCATCTAATTAGAGTATATAATATCAATCCTCCAAATATACATGTTTCCTAATATATACCCATTAAATTTAATATTTTCTATAACACTCCCCTTCAAGCTAGCGTATGTATATTTATCATGCCCAACTTGTTACAAATATAAGTGACTCCAGCTCTTTTAAGGGCCTTTGTGAAGATTTCACCTAATTGTTCCTCAATTTTTTACATGAGATGTAAAAATCAAAATTTTTTAATCTTTTCATGAACAAAATGATAATTTATCTCGTGTGCTTAGTTCATTGATTAAAAAGCAGAGTTTGAAGCAATATGAATTGCAGTTTGGTTATCACACCACAACTTTGCTAGAACTATTTTCTTAAAAGCCATTTCGGTTAGGAATTGAGATGCCCACATCAATTTTGTGCCATTGTTCTATACAAATTTTGCACTGGACCGTGACATTACATTTTGCTTCTTACTTTTCCATGAAATCAAATTATCACCCAACAAAAACATAATATTCAGTAATGGATCTTCGATCAATCTTAAAACCTACCCAATTTGTATTTGAGAAACATTCAATATTTTTATGCTTATGATTCTAATATAGAATCTCTTTTCCAAAAGCTCTTTTGAGGAAACATAGTATCTGTTCCAGAGTTGACCAATGTTGAATTATGGGGGAAGATATGAACTAAGTTATAGTGCTAACTGAATACACATTGTCAGGGCGAGTCACTGTGAGGTTGTTTAAAATTCCCACCAAGTTCCTATTATCATTCATGATCATTAAATACCTCCATCCTTGGTAAGTTGGTTGATTGGAAGCATCGAAGCACTATATGGCTTAACCCTTAATTTTCTAGTTTCTGCTAACAAATTCAACACATACGTCGAGATCGAAATATACCCTTCTTGTTCCTTGATACCTCAATCCTCGAGAAGTACTTCAATATACTCAGATCTTTAGTGTTGAACTGTTTGTGGAGAGATAACTTTCATGATAAAATTTTATGCACATCACTTTCAGTAATAATAATGTTATAAACATACATCACTAATTGAATGATCTCAGAAGCAGATTGTTTGTAGAATACAATGTGATCACTTTTGCTTTTCTACATCTCAAACTCTTCCACTGCATGACAATCTTACGAACCATACCCCCCTTGGGGTTTTGCTTCAATCTATATAGTGACTTCCAAAGACAACATACTTTACCAGACTCCCCATTAGCAACAAACTTAGAAGGTTGCTTCATGTATACCCCTTCTAAAAGATCACCATGCTGAAATATATTATTCACATTAATCTGGTGTAGAGACCAATTCTTCGTTGTAGCCAAGCATAGGAAGAGGCGAGTCAAAGTCAACTTAGCTATCGAAGAGAATGTGTCTAAGTAGTCAGTCCCATAAATCTGAGTGTAGCCCCTAACGAACAACCAAACTTTGTGATGAGCTACAGATCTATCAGAATGAAACTTAAATGCAAATATTCATTTACATCCAACAACTTTTTTGCCAGAGGGTAATCCAATTAGTTCTCAAGTTTTTTTTTTTCAATTAAGAAATTTATCTCGTCAAGCTTCGTTGCCTGCACCCATAATGGTATAGGGCTTGTTGAATATATCTCGAGGCCTCAACAGAGTCAAGGTAAGTAATATATAATATCCTGAATATTTTTTATGTCGTCTATTGAAGATTAAATTTTATCATTGTGTTAAACAACCCTAAAACTAAATAGTGTTGTACATTTTCCTTTGACCTTTCACTTTTGACGTTTCACCTTTCGCCAACACAATTCAAGTAGCTTTAGTCATTGGTCATGAACCTGTTTCATGTTTATCTTATTAGAGCGTTTAATGTTAGATAGGATTAGTTTTGTTTTGATCAATTATTTTGAATTTTGAAGGGTTTAGGTATGTTTCTAAGGGGTTTCACGTGCTTTCATAAGAATGACAATAAACGAATCGATTTCCAAGGTCGATAAATGTATTTTAATTTTTTGAGAGAGGAAAGGAGGTGTGATAGTAATCACATGATGGTTTGGAAATCAAATGATGATGCAATGATCAATCGTCCATAGTAGATATCTTTGTAGCCTAAGGGGATTGATCCAGTGCAAGTTCCTTTAGTCTGTTGTCATGAATCTTGTTCATCTTTAGTATCGTGCTAGATGTCAGTTGGGAGTAGTTTGGTATTTACTATTTGTTTAAAGGTTATTTTAATAAGCCTTATTTTTTATAAGCAGTGTTTAGTGCATTGTAAATGCTAATTAGATTTGAAGATTAATTGAAATCAGAGATTTGGCTACCCTTATGGGGATTTTTTTGTATTCTTTGGTTTCTTCTTTTGTTTCTTCCTCTCTCCAAGGATTTCATTCTTGTATATCCCCAATCTCTTTCTTCTCTCTACCTATCCAATGCTCTTCCTATATTTGCTTTGTCTTTCTTATTATCCGAATCCGTATCATATCATCCAATATTTTATCGCTATCAAGAAAGGACTTGATTGCATGTAATGATGCAGTGATTTACAGAATAGAAAACTTGTAAAAAACTGAAGTTCTAATTGAGAAAGAATTCAGAAAAAGAACTAACTTGTTTATGAGGATAATATTCATGCTGACCCATTTGAAAATAGTACTCTGCCCTTGAATTGTATTTATTCAATTATCATTCGGTACATTTGATATTTGTTTAGACGCCAAAACTTAAACATAAGGATGAACTTTATGGCTTAGTCAAGGGACTTTAACTGATGATTTTTAGTGAAGCTTCGTAGGTGAGTAGCTATGCAAGAACTTACATCAACTTTTGTATATTTTGTTATGCCTACTTTACAATATTACACAAGATTGAAATGCTAGCTGTTCCTGCTAGATTAACTAGTTCAAAGAACGATGAAAGGTTTGCTGGGAACACTCTTGCTGTTTTCATAACACTAAAAGCCATGTGGGTAACAATATTTTTTTCTCCGTTTTGGAAAATTGGCGTTGATTTGTGAGGTTAGAATTGCTTAGTGCATTTTTATTCTGTTTATTGTTGTTTCAGATGAACGTTGCTAAGTATCTAGGACTAAACTTTCTCATAAGGATTCATTCATGTTTATCTATTCTTATGTATTTGTAAACTTTTCTTTCAAGGACAGGGAAAACACTACTAGCGAAAACATTGGCCCGATTTGTGAATGTACCTTTTGTCATTGCTGATGCCACAACCCTCACACAGGCAAGTTTCTTTGTAGTAGAAGAGTTAGCTTTCATGAATTCTTTACATTTACTTCTTTAAAAGTTTAACATGAAATTGGCCATTGATGAGAATATTATTTCATTATCATATGATGATATGCTTGTTCTGATTGATAATATGTGTTTTTCTATATGTTATGCTTTTATCTACAGCATTAGTGGGAAGTCAATTATGTTTTAACGCAGAGATGGTCTAAGAAAAATCAAGCAGGTGAACTAATCACATCTATGGAGTCGCTTACTAAATGGGGTGGTTCTGAAACAAGTTTTGCTGGGCTGGTATATCATATTTGGGTTCTGTCAGATATATGTGCTTATAACAGTCGTGCCAGCCCATCCTAATCCATCCTTGACCGTGAAAAGATCAGATTATAATACCTGGGCTGGGCCAGTCTATTTAACTAATGGGGTTATGTAAAATAAATAGGCTAGCCTATATTTCAAGAACAACCCAGACAAAACTAGAACACCCCAGACAAAACTATATAATTTCATTTAATTTTGTCAAGGGTAAACCATTAATGAAAAATGCTGTTTGTTACAAGGGCTCTAAGTTCTCATTTTTTTTAGTATATATATACCTGAATCGACTTCTCTTTCTTGAATTCAAATTTATCTTTCATTTTTTTTATTCTCAAAAAATGAATTTGATTGAAAAGACTGCTCATACTTAAAAAAATTAAATCTTTCCCAGACTTTCTAAATTGGTAATTTTTCCAAGACATTTTTTCGTTTATAAACAAATTATTTTTTTATCCTTATCTTATATGATATCAGAAATTTTCGAAGTACTTGTCAATTTTAACTTTACTTTTAAAATTTTACTTGTCCATTTTCCAATAGTTAAAAAATTTCAAACCACCCAATAATTAGAATATATATTTTTCTCTACTAGCCATTTTTGCTTCTAGAATTCTTTGAACCACCTCAAAGTTAAGAAAATACCATAATATTCCTATAACCAGTTATTAGATTTTTCACCACCTTTTTAACTTTTGTCAGTTTTGAAATGAAAAACTTAGGATTGAAATGAATTGTGCTCTTGTGCTATGGGATTGTAAATACCAATATCATGCAATTAAGAGAGTTCTTTTGAAAGAAATAAAAAAGTAAGATTTTTCTGAAAAAAATAAATTCTAGACATTTCTTGATCTATAGCTAATATGAAAATTAGATAGGAAATGCTTATCACTTGCTTTACTATCTTTTATATAATGTCAAAGCAAATGCTGACTTTATTCCGTTGTTTGTATTTAAGGACAGATAATCCTCCATAGCAAGAAATCTATGTTTTTTTTTTAATCCACTTGTGATGACGGTACCAAAGACCTGGGGGAAGGATCTGCAGTGGTTTTGAGAGAGCTCAAGAATCAGAAAGCAATAACAAAAGAGATCGAGGAATGATTGTGGCTAGTGATGAGAAGGATTTTGAGGGTTTATGTGACGTGTAGGTGATAATGAGAGAGAAGAGAAGCTGAGACTTCAATCTGATTGACTCATGTGTAATTGGCTAGAGAGGCTGGCTCATTTAGGTAGTTCAATCAAACAAGATTTTAGGTTCATTCCATAAAATATTTGTAACCATTTAAATTTGCTTATTTAAGCTTATAATAGGCCAGCTTAACAGGTTCGTTGGCAGCTCGATCCAGTTGACACCTCATATGGGCTTAATCAACCACATATGAAGTCCCGTAGGTTTTCATTAGGGTTTTTGGTCAAATCTAACCTTTACCAACCTTTCAGATCACAGCTAACTTGACTGAATCCCTTTTTAAACTGTTAGTACACTTTGTGGCATGTGATTCCTGAACACTGGTCATTCGTATTGGATTTTACAATTTTTCCTTTGAATCAATATGGTTCAGAGAATCATACATAATTAGTGAAGACAATCTAAAACTTTATTAGAACATAAACCGTGTAGCTTTGAGGTTTAATACTAATAAACTAGATGAAATCATTTGATTAACTATTTTAGATGTCATCTGATTTTTGTGTATGTTGGCCCAAGCTGTATGTTTTGTTAAGTAGCATGTTAGGAAACATTCACCTGTAGTTTGGTTTGCTCATCTCTTTGAAGTCGAATAATCAAAATCGCACTGATTTGAACCTTAAAAGAAGATTTGGTTTGCTCATCTCTTTGAAGTCGAATAATCAAAATCACACTGATTTGAACCTTAAAAGTTACATGAAGGTGCCGTTGGATTTCTTTCAATTTAATTGTATTTGTTCGAATAATCAAAATCGCACTGATTTGAACCTTAAAAGTTACATGAAGGTGACCGTTGGATTTCTTTCAATTTAATTGTATTTGTTTGTTGTGAAACTTAATACATATTTATTCATTACTGGCATGATCTAGTTTATCTTTATCTGTGCTGTTATGATGTTCTTTGAAAACTTGAGAATTTTAGCCTTCCTAGATGCTCAATTTCCTCCATGAATTTTTTCTCTTAATTTGGTGGAATGTGATTGATTTTGTAGGCAGGATATGTTGGTGAAGATGTGGAGTCCATACTTTACAAACTTTTGATGGTATTTGCTGATTTCAGTCATTATTTTTCTCGTCATTCTTTCTTATATCTGCATATTTGATGAGAAAAATGTGAATTTTTATTACTTGAATGTGCAAAGTCAGTAGTAACTCTTTTCTATGTCTATCCAATTGATGTGTCGTTCAGCCCCTATTCTACTCAAACTACAATGTCATAGCATTAAGCTCTTGGATTGTAGTTGAATTTAATTACGTCATCAACTATTTATCCATGCAAATTAGCAGCAATCTTAATAAATGAAGAAATCTAATTTATTTATCATTTTAGTATGAAATCGGTAGTGAACATCTAACAAGAAATGGTGCATTTTAGCTTTTGTAAAGTGCTCATTGAAATGAGATTTCTATATCCTACTTATCAAGTTCTTGGACTTGTTATGAATGTAATTTCTAAATCCCAGTTTACATGTATTTTCAAACGGTGTACTTCCAAGTTAGTTTTTAGTGGGAACAACACAGTTAGATAATTTAATATAGCATTTTCAAGGAATTAAGCGCTATGCAATTCACAAGAATTTTTTTTTTTTTAATGGCCAAAGTGCAAAGTGAAAGCGGTGTTTTTACTAACTTAAAGGTTCATGAGTTGTTTGTCATATATACGGAAAATATGCATACAATAGTTTTTTAATTACTCAAACTTAAATTACATGAAGTAATTTACCAACAAGTATCTTCTCCACGAAATGTTGTTCCATAGGCTTTTTAACCTTTAATTTAAGTTTTTTGAGGACCGAATAGCTTTTGTCATCTTCAGGAGCCCGAATAGCTTTTGTCATCTTCAGGAGCGAGGGTTATAAAAAACGCTCTATTAGCAGAGAATGGTTGAGGCTTAGTTGGAATGTCTATTGACGTCACCTTGCAGCTCATAAAGCATAAGCTATTCTTCCAATCACACACTTTATTCTCTAGTCTGAATTTTCCAAATGACGGTAGCAATGAAAAGGATGAATCCCTCTTTATATGCCTTCACAGTGAATAAATGACAAAATCGGTTGAAAGATCGATGCATCTTCTTGAATCTCGTATACAAAATCATCGTGCTATACTCACAAATGTGTTGGGTCTTATCTGAGTTGATACTACTACGCAGTAGTTAAGAGTATCTACAAATCGACACACAAGGGAAATCTTAGCCTAACCCGGATTGATCTTTATAGTAGCAGATTTCATTATCATCTATCAAGTTTAGGAATTCATCTTCCCCCATTAGGCGAAGCTTGGCAGCATCTCCAAAGTCATAATTTGCTTGCAAAACATTTATACTAATTCTTCCTAACTTGGACTTTCCTACAAACGAACCTTTTGTAAATGCCTGGTTGCTATTGTAAAAGACAGAAGCCATCTTTTGGAAACAGAGTGGAGGTATTAATGTTGACCTCATTTTTAGTAAGGTCCCAGTCTCCTACTCTTAGAACCTAGGATTTAGCTTTAGGAGTTCTTATTGACCATCCTAGCGGACTAGCAATAGAGCCCACCTCCCGTAGAACTTCAAACCACTTCTTGGCTCATTTTCGTGAAAAACTCGCATGAGTGGTTCCAAGCACTCAACTTCTAGTTGCAAGGGTTAAGGACCAACGTGTAGAGGGCCTGAAAATGAGTTCCTACAGGATCAGAAGGCCTTAGGTGAACCCTCCATGACTCGAATACTCACAAACGTCGTACTTCACGCACGCGCTACACCACGCACGAAAGTGACACTTTTTTGGACGGATCGTCAGCGAGCTCACCCGAACGACTCCGGATGATGAAATGGACCACACGGATGTGTCCGGGACGTCGACTTTAGCCAGGAAAGACACCCATATCACTATGATTATGCGCTGACATAAACAACACGAAAATTGATGCGCATTAAGTTTAATTAAATGAGACGAGTTTAGGCTTAACCAGGGATCAATTCGGGCTAAGCATAGCCCAATTATATCTCGGGTCAGGCTACAACCCAATTTGTAATTTGAAATTTCAAATTTGAAATTACCTCATCTAAACCCTTAATTAAATTTAATGAGGCCTTATTACTTTCTAATTAAGTTGTTGCGTTAATAGACGTTAATCAATTCCTCCGTTAATCAATTCCCCGCCGTTTCACTTGTAATGGGCACATTGAAAATTTGGATATACAGATCGAGCGCTTCCTCCCCGGAGAGACATTCGACTCCATCTTCCTCTCACGACGAGATTCAATCCCCCGCTAGCCTCCACTGTCTCTTCCTCTGCCCTAAAGAATCCCGCACGCCTCTCCTCTGCATCAGAGCTCCCATTCGCCTCTTCCGCTCGAGTCACCTGCTGGCTTCTTCTCTTCCCTGCGCCAAACAACCGCTCCGTTCGAACTCACCCCCTTCCTCTTCTGCATCGAAGCCCTCGACACCTCCCGCCTGTGCACCGAAGTCCTCGCTCACCTCTTCCTTGCCCGACCGAAGCTCTCCTCCTCTCTACGAACAGAACCCCCGCACTCCTCTCCGAACCAAAGCCGCTCGCCTCTCGTCTCCTCACGCAACAGCCCGTAGCGCTCGCCTTCCTCTCTCGACAGAAATCCAGCTCGACTTGTCTTCCTCCTCTGCCTCTCCCGAGCTCCTGCTCATCTTCCTTCGCTCGCCAACCTTCCCTCGCTCGCCTTCTTCTTCTCCCGAGGCTTCTCTGCTCGAGCCCACTCGACAGGGAAAGACGAAGCGCCCGCTCCTCCTGCGCCTCACCCGCACCTCCTCTGTGAACAGAAACCGACGCCTGCTTGATTCGGCTCCCTTTTCTCGCGCCTGCTTCTTCGCTATAGTCCCGCTCTCAAGACAAGCGCCCGCTCCTCCTGCGCCTCACCCGCACCTCCTTTGTGAACAGAAACTGACGCCTGCTTGATTCGGCTCCCTTCTCTCGCGTCTGCTTCTTCGCTATAGTCCCGCTCTCAAGACATTTACTCCCGCTCGCCTGCTTAACCGAAGCCTGCGACATTTTTTTTTCTTCCTCTGCGCGACCTCTCTCAGGAGTCGTCTCTCGGAACAGAACTCCGCTTGATTCGGCCCGATCCAGCTCTTTGGATTAATTCGGCACCCGCTCCTAATCTAGACAAGACGCTCGCCTTCTTCCTCGCTCGGTCTGCTCGATTTGGTTCTCCTCGCTCGACAGGATTCCTCCCCCTTGGTTTCTTCTTACCCGAAATTTGTGAGATTGGTAGGTACAAGTTCGATCTCCCCGCTTAAATTTTTTTATAAGATCTTTAATCGAAAGTGCTGAATCTGTTGAAAGCTGAAAGGAAACTGTCTGAGGAATTGAACTAGTCCTGTTTATATCATTCAGTTTAAAGCTTTTTAATGCATTCTTTCATCCATAAGACTTGATCCCATGATGGCGGAGCTTAACATATGCTGCAGACACTTCATAATTTATTTATCTGCTTACATTTGTTATGATAGTAGCTCTTCCAATCATAGGGACTGATTTTTGGAGATTTCCAAATAGTATTTTGCGTTGAACCGTATTAACCGAATTTATGCCCTAGTTAGAAAGATGCAAGCAGTGGTCTGATGCACAATTTTATTCATTGGGCAACCTGATCTCTGCTTGCTTTTGTTGGTCTTCCTTGAACAACTTAGTCACTGTTTTGGAGGGTTTTGCGCCCCATTTATATGCTGTTTAAGGTTGTCAATCACTGTAAAGTTCTGTTTGGTGTTTAATAGTTGCTGTTTGGAATGATAGGAGGCGTTGTAAGCATTGTTTGCATTTCAAAGCCACCTTTTGGAATGTAGGAAGGGCTGTAAGGTGTTGTCCAATGCTCCTAGTCGCTGCCCGATGTTGTAGGAAGTTGTAGGACTACTACCTAAACCTCCAAGTTGCTGCCCAGTGTCGTAGAACCGTTGTCTGGTGCTAAGTACTGTTTGGAAGCTTAGAGTTGCTGTTTGCTGTTTAAAACTACTGTTTGGTGCTAGGAATTGCTGTTTTGAAGCTTAAAACTGCTGTTTGGTGCTAGGGACTGTTGTTCGGAAGCCTAGAATTGTTGTTTGGTGATTATTATGAGTTGTTGTTGGGATTCCCTAGCTGCTGTCCCGAGCTGTGGGAGGCCTTATGATCGTTGTTTAGGCTTGCTAATTGCTGTTTGGGTTCATAGGAACTCATGCAGACGCTATTCGAAATTCCTAGCTGCTATTCGGAGTCGTAGGATCACCGTACACACTTGCTAGTAGCTTTCTGGAGCCGCAGGAGGTCGTAGGATCACCGTACTAGCTCGCCAGTGGCAGTTAGGAGTTGTAGGAAGTCTTAGGATCACCTTTTTTGAGTTCCTTGTTGTTGCTACAACTTGTTCTACTGTTTACTATTTTCTTCCATTCTCTGCAATTTATTTAAATTCACTGTAAATTATATTGTATTTTGTGAGTTAAACATGCAACAGGGATAACTGCAGATATGCCAAGTACACAAGTACATTTTATTTGTTGTTGTTTTGTCATTGCAATTTGCTCTTGCTCTAACACATTATGGAGATACTGAATACAATTTCACTTTAGAAAATTTCACTTTGGAAAAAAAAATGAATTTTTAAAATTAAACAACATTTTCAAAACAAATCAAAACAAAACAAAACATAACACGCTCTTTCGAATTTACGGGAGTCCCTCGGAGGAGGTAGCCCACGGTTCCTAACGAGATCTCACCGGTTTAAATGGATTTCACAATTCGTTTAAGCTAAGTAAATTCAAAAGAAAATAGTGATACCAAAAACGAGGGAACCGTGAGATGCTAACCGGTGTCGCTCTAATCAACTTAACCCCCCAATGACAACAAAACCGAGACATTGAAATACACTTGGTAAAACTGTTTGAACCTTAGACTTTAAGACTGCTACTTCGACGAGGAGCCCGAAGCAACTTCGTGGGCAGCACGACAAGGAGTTTGGAGCATACTACAAGTAGAGGGGGTCGTCATTCTACAACATCAAAGAAAGTCTTCACCAACTAAACTTCCTTAGTTTAAACAACTCATAGGACTTCGATGTA